GGTGCGGGGGCAGATCTTACCTGCAAATGGGCCCTGGAGGTTATAATAAATACAAGTCATGTAAGAGTTTATAGCCATACCTGACCCCATCACCAGAACAGAGACATTCATCCATGGACTAAGCATTCCAGGAAGCAGGAGAGATGAAAGACAGATGAATGGTCTCCAAAGAGAAGGTTCGGACTTGACCCTAGCAGAAAACCTACTAATGCCCTGATGAGGCTCGGTGCCCCACTTTTCCAGGCTCATGCCTAAGCCTATTGTTTTCCTTTACACACGTGTCTGTTTTTCCCGGCTCTGGCCAAGCCTGCAGTTGGAAATGCTAACAGGATCTGCTTTGGTTGAGCCCAGGCTCAGGGCACATCATAAATTCCACACTGTGATCTTGCTTTCGTGACTTGTGCAGTCAAACTTTGCAAAGTCCTGGGGCTTGAAGTTTCAGAAGTTTTAGAGAAGTGACGAATGAAGTAAGGGTGGAGGCGAGTCTGAAGACTGCCCACACCAGACCTAGTTATAACCAGGATCATCTCCTTGCACCCCTTCCAGCAAGGAAGCCAGATGGACCTTCCTGGCAGAGACCTTGGCTGAGTTCCCACAAAGGCAGCAGGCTATTTGGAAATGATACATCCCTGGTTCTACACTTTTTCCTTTCTAGGACAGGTGCAACACTAAGATCCCCATTAGGAAATTAATTCTTTGGTTTCAAGAAAAAAAGCCAGCTATCAACTCAAAGAGAATTTCAGGTGTTCAAAACAAACAAACAAACAAACAAAAAAATCCGGTGGTGGCCTCAGGCTTGCCTGCTGGCTGTACCTAATACTTCAAAATAGTGACCAATTAAAGGTTTACACTGGGCCATTTATCATGTCAGATTATAGAGTTTCTTCTCAGAGCCTCTTTGCTGGAGCTAGTAAATACCCCCCAACAACAACAAGTCTCTTGTCTTGTCAACGATGACTCAGTCCCTTTGCCTTTAGAGCTTGTCGCCAACATAGCCGCTGTGAGCAGCCCATTGGTGAGGAATTTTGTTTTATCTCAATATTTAGATAATCCCATTAGGGCACAGCATCTGGGACTACAGGATTTCCATCAAGACCCCTTGTCTGTCACATCATCCCTGGAACTGTAGATGCATCCTGAGGTTATTTGATAGTTAAACCTCCTCCCCTTCAGCATTTGCTGTGTTTTGTGGTCGCTGTGCTCTCTGGGCTTCAGTCCACCTTGGATGTTCCCATCCCCAGATGAACAAAAGCATGCAGATGACTGATGGACTAGAGTCTTTCTTCCCATCCAGATATTTTGGCAACTTGTGGCAGAACAATCACTCACAAAGGACACACCAGGGATCAAACACCAAGCAGCATTCAGAACAGCCACTGCAAAGTAGATTTGGAAACAGAAAAACAAGGAAAGGAAACATTCTCCCGGGCCTGATAGATGCATTTTAAAACTCCAAGTATTTCTCAACAACTTAGCATGAAGTTAGGGATCAAGTGATACTTGGCTGTTTCTTATTTTTGGATCCCCAAATTTACATTTCTGTGCAGTAAGTTTGCTGAGCAAATTAATATTTGCATACAGAGATGCAGGCAGTGCAGCAGTGAAACAGCTGCATGTGTTTGGAAAGACTTGGCGCTCCCGCACTGATTAGCTCCTGCATTTTTGTTTTTTATTCCCCAAACAGACACTCACTCTGACCCAGATCATTTGGCGATGAGGGTCAATTCATATTTAAGCTTTGAAGATTAGAGAGACCAGAAAGGGCCACCACTTCTCTATTTTCTTTTAAAAACTTTAAACTTTAAAAAACTAAAAACTTTTAAAAATACATAATATTCTGAGTTCATGAAAGGAATTTATCCACATTTCTGCCACATTAAATGTTAGCAAAGTTTACATTGGACTGTCATATTTCTTTACTTTATTCACTAGCATACAAGATGTCGATCTGAACATCTGGTTTTTAATAACCCTCGACATCTGGGAGCTCCTTTTTATTCCTATGGTGGACGAGGAACAGTAGTAGTGATATTGGCAGCGTATATTTTCAAACTACAACTCCTGTCTGTTTCAATCATAATTAATTACCACTTTTTAATATATTTAATTTGCTAAAAGTGATTTGCATTAGACCACATTTCACTGTTAAGAAAATAGCAGTAGGTTTTGGTGGCAGTGGCTTTTCTTTTTGCTTACTTTCTTCTCTTTTAAAAATTAAAACCCGATAGGAATGGATTTGGAACAAAATGAATCTATATGTGATGTTGGGTTTTAAATATGAAATGAAATAAACTGCTCTGCAAGGAAAGTTATTTTATAGCTATTTAAGAAGAAGTCGGCAGTGGCTGTAGGCTGTATTTTAGAGAAAGCCTCCTATTTTGTTTTGTGACTTTGGCAAATCATAGCATCTTTCTATGCTTGGAGTTTTTCTACAGCAGCAATTTTGGGGGTCAAGAATCTTATGATGAAAGCTAGGGCCTCCATCCAGAGACATATATTTGCACACATACTCAACAACATTCTTCATTGAATTTCAAGGGGTTGCTAGGCCCCTTGAAACCCATTTATGAATGCCCTCGGGTCTTATGCTGTAAACTTTCCTCCTTTATGAAGATGAAAAGGAACATCAAATTTGCTTTTCTCCAGGGACAGAGAGGAAGTTAAATGAATGTAAAAATACATTTTTCCTAAGTCACATAGGGAAAAGGGAAGTTTCTTGCCAAGAGCAATTATTAGACTGTTTAATAATAAATAAACACAGATAATTTTTACATAAGAAGGCCCAGCTAAAATGATCAATGTATTTTATTGTTTGCCAGAATATTCCTACCTAAGCTGTCAAGTGAAAATTCATACTGAGTCATCCAGTTCAGACTCTGTGCAAATCATTCCATTGACTCACGTCAGTCAGGGATTCGTAACCTTTGTGGGCCGTGGATCCCTTTGGCAGTATGATGAACTCTTTGGATCTCTTCTTAGAATAATTTTTTCAATGCATAAAATAAAATACCTGGAGATACAAAGGTAATAAACTGTATTGAAAGTCAGTTGAAAAAAAATCTTTAAGTAGATAAAAATGACTAGACCTACTGGCCAGATTAGGTGGAACTGTATGAAACTGCTATTTTTCTAGGTAAAAATGGCCAAGTATTGGCATTTTCGTATGATTCAACCTAATAGTATAACAACTTAACCAATAAGGAGTCAAATAATGAGAAAATATTCCAAGTTTTTTTTCCTCCTATTCCTGATTTTCAAAACAAGAAGCAAATCATGGCAAAATCTGACTTCACTGGAGATCTATTAAAAGGCACAGCTCTCAAATTATGCGTGACACCAGGGTATGTTTCAATCCTTGCAGTAAACTGTGAGAATTGTTCAAAACAGGGACTTTGCTACGGGGATATACCTCTGTCTTCAAAGATTCCATTTGCCTGTATATTAGCCACTTTACTAAGTGAGGAAAGTCACCAGAGCTATTTTGGAAACACTTTTCCACAAGAATTCCAAGGAAAGAAGTTTCAGTTTATCCGCAATTGAACACAATTTTAAGTTAAACAAAACTTTCTTTCTACAAGCATTCTACTGAATTGAAAGTTGACCTCTCTTTTCTTTGAAACTTATTTGATTGCAAATGTATAATCATTCCACGCAACTGTATAATCATACCATCGCCAGTGCATCCTCTTTCATGCTGAGAGCAACGTAGAATCTGTCAACTAAGAAGATGCATATTTGAGCCTTTGTGGAATAACCAATATGAATTATCGCCTGCTGAAAAAGTTTGTTCCACCCGAGTAGATGGAGTTGTGTGTGTGTTTTTAAAAAATTCTTCTTCAGCCTTTATTGATACTTTAAGCTTAAGAGAAATTAAGGGTATTTGATTACTATAATTACTTCTCTGCTTACTTAAAAGGTTTAATCTACTCCTTAGGCATATGCAATTCAGATTGCATGCTTTCCAAAAAAATAATCATCTGCTAATGTAGACTAATTTTAATCTTCTAATCCAATCTTGACACAGAGTCAGAGCTGGGTGGGTGGAATGTTTTTGTGTGTGGGTTGCCATAGATACAAAACTTGGTTATGTGTTTGACAAGTCGGTGATGTGGAACTTAAGTTACTATGGATTTTTTTCCTCAGTCTTGAAGATTAAAAAACAAAGTGAAGATTAGCGTGCCTTTCCAGTGCATCTCGGTGTAACTAACCTTCTCTTCTTTCATTCTGGTGCTCCCCTCCTCTCTGTGCACCTCCCCACCTCGGGCCGGCCGCAGGATGACGAGGAGGGCATATGGGCATAGCCGGGCCTGTAAACCAAAGTTCCAGTTTTGTTTTGAGGGGTGAGAAACCATCTTTTATATCATTTTTCTTAAAAAATTGCATTCTAGTGTTGTATTGTGTGTGTGCTCAATTGTGCTCGCTGATGTTTGTGAATTGTGCCCTGTGTTTGCTACTGTGTTCTGTGAGCGCAGAATGTCCGCGTGCCCTGACCCTTCCCAAGAGCCCCCTCCATCCTACCTCACCTCCCCACCCCACAACCACATTACTGCTCTGCCTTGTTGGGGCTGGGTTTAGCACGATTCAAATGTTTCTACGTTATTTAAGATGTAAACTATGCCCTTATTAGGATTTATACACACTTTTTAAGGCATGATTGTGGACTCAGAAATTGTCGCAATTCTCCAGTCGTGGTTTTCAGCCGACTACTTGCTTTTACCAGATATGCCAGTGTGGTGTGACTCTCACGTCCTTCTGGTTGTGTCAAATGTTTGGCAAGGAATAAGGAAAATAAAACTATGTATCTTCATGGAGCTGAAACTATCATCTCTAAGAAGCCCGTTTAATGGATTGTGCTATCTCTTCTATGGCAGTTCTGAAGAAAACACAAGGATCAAGGCATAGTAATGGTGAATGGGTAACTGTAACTCTTTAAATGAATTAGAATAGAAATATTCGTATTAGCAGGTCTTATTGGTGACATTTTATCTGTTGCTTTTTAAAAATTATACTTCTAAGAGACTTTGCATTAGAAATTACACATATTGTATTTATCAGAGGGTTTTGTACTTTTAAAAGCTGATCTTTAGCTATTAAGAACTCACCCTTTATTTACGTCCTATCTGCATTACGATTGAATAATGACACATGTAATTACCACATGGTTATAAATGGAACATTGAAGTCTAGAAACTTTTGCTGCTGAGAATTACACCTCTCCTGTACACTGCAGGCTGTGGAACACCAAGTCACAAACTCCTTGGAGTTGAATATACATATGGTTACATGGAATACGGTATTAAACTTGGTAACATTGCAAATGACATTTTGTTTGGAACAAGGAATATACATTGTGTGCCATGGTGATTTTTTCTGATCAGAAAGTATTCAATGTATAGTTCTTTATTCTGAGACAAGCATGGAATGACACAGTGCTGGAGAATCAACAGGTGTGGGACAATTCTTGGGGATAACTTAGCATTTATGTCTTTTCCCAAGTCTTGCCTTCAAATAGCATGGCAGGTGGTGCTTCAGGTGAAGTTTAACCTAGAGCTGGTACGTTTTGCCTGTTGGTGAGTTTCATTGTTGTGTTTTACTTCTCACTTGAACCTGTTATACGTCCCACTAATGGGTCAGTTTGCTTTTTTTTTTTTTTTGGTACTGAGGGTGAAGTTCACAGAATGGTGGTTTTCAGATATAACATCTTTCTACATAGTAAAGATGTAATGCCTCCTGGATCCATTTGCTGCCGGTAAAACCTGCTTCATGTTAATACAGGAGTATCTCATCTCTTCTCCCTTTTCTTGGCAAAGGGGAAAATAGCACTGGAATGAACACTTCTAGATGCAAAGTCATTCCATAGGAAAGCTTGTCAGTATGAGGAAGTGGGGAAATCAGAGAAGTTCTGGATGTTCTATGGGAGCAACTCTTTCCCTCTCTAGGGAAAATATTAAGAGAAATGTCACGTTTACTCACAAAGAAAAGCTAATAAAAGTGGAAATTGACCTAAACTAATATGAAATGAGAAGAAAGCGTTTTATAGCATTAAAAAGCAAACACGTGAAGCCTGCCTCAAACATGCATGGGCTAGGTAGGTAAAGGAAAGTTCTAAGAGTTTGGCAGTTGTCTTGAAAACTATAGCTCCTACTTGGGGCTCTTCTGTGAAGCTACTTCCGCCATCATGAGTATCAGGGCGCTAGGCTCCACTTGTGTGTCCTCCTGAATAGTGAAGATTTTTTATTGCTCTTTCACAAGATTCATGACACCCTGAGACATGAACAGTGTTGTTATCCTCAGGATGGAATCGGCTCCAGGACCCACAGGAAATCTTGCCTTGCTTAAGGCAAATGCAGACAATCGTATTAAGCCTTATCCCCTTTATTTCTTCATGAATTTCCCCAAATGCCATGGACACCAGAAAATAAATGTTTTTAGTAATTTAGTCAATATATAATCCTACTTTAGTATGCTGTAATAAATTTCATATGCTTCAGAGGAAAACTACTTATCTTTCTTTATGACTCCTTTAAACAAGTTTGCTTAGATATCCTCAGGCTTTTAAAACCATGTCTTTAAGGATTTAAATAATGAGATACTGGGGGAACCTTCTGTTTTGAGCAGCCGTTGCATGTTTTGAGTTGCATTACAATCCATGAGGCCTTAGGAGACATTAAATTTATAACTAAAGATGGATAATAGTGGTACATTAAAAATTAACTGTTTTTAATGTTTTGATTTATGGCCCTTATAAAAGAAACATTACAAGATGTTATTTTACTAGACAACAGTAATATGCTCATAATAGCATCAGAAGGCTCTGACTTGAATCTGGAGTTTTGGTGCTGAAATGAATCATAATTTAGAAAAAGTTACTCTAAAAATTACAGCAAATTGGAATTAGCATAACAACCCTGCCAGCTCCTCCCTTTTTTGCCACTTCTGGATGTTAAGTCCAGACATGATTTATTTGTCTCACTATGGTCATTCAAGAGTGATATTTTCCGAGCACACAGTGGACCAGGGAAAGTTTACTTTTCTAAAGAGTTTTGACAGCCCCCAGAGCTAGCCTTTCCCCTCTTAAACCTCACATTCAGGCCTGGATTTATCAGCGTGTGGCCTGTGCAGTCCACAGGCCCTACACTTAGAAGGGCTTCACTCTTAGGTTAAAACTCTACTGTCACTGTCTTGAAATTCCTAACGTTTTTCAAAGAAGGGGCCTCACGTGTTCATTTGCCCTCCGTGCCAGTAATTATGTAATCTATGCTGCCTACACCAACCATATATTCCTATATTCTGCTTTTCAATTCTCTTTATACTCCCCCTCCCTGTTGGATCATCCACACTCTTGTTTTCTTATGCCTAAGATTTACCTGTGGCCAGCCTCATTGTTCTGGGTTTCTTCTCAGACTCCATGGGATCACATTTCCAGCAAGTTGTTGCCCTCATAGGTATCCCGGGCACTGCGTATTCAACCACTGTCCTCTCACCACCAACCCCCCAAATCCCACATGCACACATACTTTCAATTGTGAAAATGTGCTCTTGGAGGCCTAACTCTATTCCCTATCTTGCCTTGCAAAATGCAGGAAAAGCAGCTCCTCAATTCTCCATAACTTTCCTTCAGGAAAATCCACTTAATGTAGGTACCATTTGTGTCAGCAAATACTTCTTCATTTACGTCGAATGAAGGTGCTTTCCTCGGACCCCCCAAGAGGCATTCAGGTTTGTGAACATCAGTGAGGTGGGCAATGGACGAGCGAATCGAGGCATCTTGTGAGATTTAGTGCCACATCTGCCTTGACATTTAAATGTTTGAGCTCTTACTGTGAACTCTTGTAATTCAGCAAAGATAGAACACAAGTTTTTATTTCTTAAACCACTAGAAAAGAATTAGTCTTTTTTGATTGAAAACATATACAAATTTTTAGGACCCGATTCGTAAAAATACAGATGTGGCATTAACAAGTTTTGGCATGAGGCTGTGATGCTAGTAGATGCAGCCTGTTCAAAATGAAGAATTGTAGCTCTCTGCCACCAGCACATGGACAACGTTATGGTGAGTAAAAATATGAATCCCAGAACATTTAGACATGAGGAAGGGGTGTTTTACAAATAAAAGTGCTGGATGGCCCAGTGGAACTCCCTGCCATGCCTCCCTTCTGGAAGAATGAAAGAAGGAGGAAGGAGATGTTTTATTTTGGCTAGGAAGTTCATGTCCGACTTGCCTTCTTTTAGCAGACAGAGTCTGGACACTGGGTCTGTGCTTGTCCTGGGACTAGAGAAATTTAATGGTGGCAAAAAGAAAGTCAAAGAAAGAGCTCTGAGCTCTACACAAAGCAGAGGTTTCTATACAAAGTGGTGGTTTCTATGCAAAGTGCAGGTTTTCTTTTACACCTCCTGTACAGGGGTACCTCCTGGTGCTTTTAATGCAATTTAGATTTTGTGTAACTGAGGATCTGATATATCTCTTTCTTGTGCCGTTGGCTACTCAGACTTTCATTTATTCATTCCTTCATTTATTATTCACTCATTTGTCCATTCTTTCACCGAACGGTTCTCAGTTAGATGCTAGGAAATCAATGACGAATAAGATTGCCATGGTTGCTGCCCTGTGGATCTTGCTATCCAGTCAAGGGACAGAACATAAATAATTAGACATCTCAATAGAAACCTTGTACATTTTGGTCATGGCTTTGATGGAAACCAGAAAGATACTGAGATTAACATGAGGGACCTACTTAAGAAAGGATGTTCAGCAAGCATCGCTCCAAGGAAGTAAGTTTTAAGCCAAGTCTTAAAAGGGGAGAGTCAGGAGGTACCCACGCCAAGGCATGCATTTGGGAGGTGGTCCCAGGAGGCATTCAAAAGCTGGAGGTGGGAAGGAGTTTATAAGCTGAAGAAGCTTGAAGACCATAACTCTGGGTAGAGCACAAAACAGCGAGATGAGGATGGAGAAGAAGGAAGGGGCCAGAAAATGTAGGGCCTTTTAGGGCGAGGTAGAGAGTTTAGATTTTTAGCCTAAGAAAACTGAGCAGACATCAGAGGAGTTAAAGCAGGGACATGACATGATTTGATTTGTGTTGTCGAACAACCCTGGCTCCTGTGTAGAGGATGAATTGTCATGGCAGGAAGAGCAGAAGTAGAGGCTGTTCCATGATCTGTGAGAGAATTGATAGCACTGACCCAGGGCAGCAGTAGTGGAGATGCAGAGAAGTGGATAAATTGGAGATAAGACTAGGAAGTGAAGCCAGGAGGACTTGGATGGGGAGGTAAGATAAAGAACAGAATTGAGAATGCCTCCAGATTTCTACCTTGGGTGTCAAAGCTGGAGCAGGCCATTGGT